CTTGAACAACCGTACCTTGTGCCATGATGTTGCCATGTTCACACGAGCAAACTCCAGCCTCGACAGCTTGTGGGGAGTACTAAGACGAGTAGCTTTTTTCATCCTCTCTCGTGTGATATACTCATCAGAGCGGATAGAGCGCCAAACGGTCGTACGCGAGACTGATAAACTCATCTGAGCTCGGATCTGACTCACAGACAAAGAAGTACTCGTTACAAGACGGGCTATTCTCCTGTTGTCCTGAGCAGCCAAAATATGTGGACGGCCAGGATTAGGTTGTGAGCGATAGCTGCCAGGGTCTTGAATGAATTTAGCCATGCATGAAAAAGAGCGGCCCAGTTGCCGCTTCAAAAGTATGTGCACACTCAAATATTTTTCGCTTTAAAGGTAACTAAAGAGCCTACCGTAACTAAACCATTCTCAAACGATGTTGAAAAGGTAACTAAAGAACCCACCTTAACGGAACCATTCTCAGACCAAAGGTAACTAAATAACCTTCCGTAACGGAACCATTCTCAAACGATTCCTCGTAGTCGATAACCGTTCCAGAAATTCAGGGGGCCCTATTGATTTCTGATCTCGGTTGTATTTTTGTTTTTTGCTAAGTGTGCAAATACTTTTGAAACAAAGGAAAATTTACTTTGCTAAAAAATTATGTTAGCAGCTACGATGTTTTCTCAGAGAAAGCGCTCGAAGGTTATAGCACACAAGGAATTCAATGGGAAAGATCACAGGATACAGAAAGCAATGGTACCCCCAAAAAACAAAATGTTTGGTGTGCACATACTTTTGAAACCCACTGTATTACTTCGAGAAATGTTGGAAGGCGACCCACACATAACGTTATCTCAGGGAACTTCACGGCCATGTAACAGTCAGCCAAAGCCGAACAAGGAATGGAATCTGCTTATGCGGTCGCTCTATTCACCAACAGATACTCCCATGGTTTATCACGTCAATCGCCCTTTGAAAAATTGGTTAACACAACTTTCGACGAAGTGAATGCCAACGAAGGCCAACGTCAAGCGTGATGACCTCCAAAAATCGAAACTTCTTCGCCTGTGAATCCGACCGCCTAGCAAATGGGAGGCAGTGCTTAACCTAGATGGTGGGTAGATGTTCCGGAGCAATTATTTGAACATAGCTTTGCTAAATATTTCTATCGCTACTTCAAGTAAAATTTGCTGAAAAAATCCGCAATAATTATGCATCAACCTAATAATTAGCAATCGTCTTGGAAGAGGCATGACCGAAGAAGCATACCACATAATAGAGACACATTACCAAGCAAGTATTCAACATCCCGTCAAACGTTGAAAGTGCTAAAATTGCGACGCAACCGCTCGCACCTGGGGTTTGTCTAATTATGTTGTTTAAGTTCTTCTTATACATAACGCCCACAGTAGGGAAGGGGAAAGTCACCCCAGAAATGTTGGTTTGCCATGGGCCACATAAGTGACGCCGGAGCTTAGTATTTTACGCCTGCAGTACCGCCAATGCACTGCTAGGTTGGTATCGTGTTTCTGATTAGATAAGCCGAATTATGAAGAAAAAGTGGATATTTGCCCCGGAAAAGCACTCTAACAATGTGGAGGGGAACTATACCTTAAGAACGCTCAAGGAAGTAGCGAATTGTTAGGATGCTCTACGAAATGCGCTTGGAGGGGTATAGGAATCTTGAACCGAGCATCCCTCTATCTCACACCTTAGTTCAAAGTAACCTTAGTTAGATGCACAAATTAAATATCATCACAGTGCTCCAATTTCGCAATTAAGTGTGTTGTAATTAAATGAAGAGGACAATAAGAAAGTGAAGCGTTTAGAAAAAAAGCCTCGTGCAAATTATTATAAATTTGCATACCATATATCAGATAAATAGTTGGTATTGTGGTTACTAGTTGTTAAATAGTCGTCAAATACCATTCGGCGGAATAGTTGGACTATCCCACTCTTTTTATAGGATTCCCAAGTATTTAGTCCTGAAAACGGCGCTATAAGAAGTCACTAGAAGTATCTCATCACCAAAACCATTCACGATTACCTACTCGATACGTGCCAGTTTCTTCACTCTGCAACCTTTTCACTTCTGCGCCATCCTTGGCTCGGGAACCCCATACCTCGAAAACCCTGTATATGCGCAACCTTCCGCAATACTACTTAATACTTGATAACATTAAATTCAGTATCAAGTTGAGAGCTGAGTACAAAACTGAAAAATGAAATAAATGAAGACTAGAGCAAAACATAGCGTCATTCATACCTACCGCGTCTGTAATCGCCAGATGTACAAAGAGTAAGATGTGATAGGATACGAAATAATGTAGAAGCCAGTCAAAAAATCACTTACTAGTTACTGACAAGAATAACTCTGGTTTCCTTCACAAATTACACCGGGATCATAATAATGATAACTGGTGTAAATCTAGAAAGGAAACCTGCTTATCTGGAGCCTTAACTCTTCATAGCAACAAGGGCAGCAATATAAATAAATTGTTGGTTGGTTGCAGCAGTAGAGTAAAACCATGGCAATACTTGACGAATTCGGCAGCAGAGATTAGCGGTATAAGCGTTCAGACGAATAATGCAGTGTTTAGTGGGGTAAGGGCCTACATGACTATCGGCGCCCCAGCGCAATTCTAGGGGTATATTCATCCCCCGCCCTGGGAAGGGAAGCCACCCCTCTCAGGATGGGTAGTGAACGGGAGTCGCGCTTCTCTGAGCTCTAGCTAAGGTAAGGTCGCAGAGGCGAACGTCTCATGATTAGCATGAGTTGGTTCTTCACCTGTTTATAGGACAAAACTTTGCTCCATTGCAAACAACACAGAACAAAGGCAAAACCATCATTTAGACGTTCGCGCCCTTCGCAAGCATTTCCTTGGGGAGACCCACCCCTTCCCTCCCCTGGGCGAGTGGTGTGACACTACGTGCGTCCGAGATCATCTGACCCTACTTAAGTACTCTACTTCGAGTTTGTGCCCCGAAAATTGGCGTCAGAGTCGTACAAATCGTCACGAACTTCGCCGCGCAATTTGCCGTGCGCGCACCCTCGCACCCAGCTTCCCCCTCCCCCCCCCCCCCCCCCTGGGTGTTATGCATACGGTCCATTATGTCAGCTTAATAGCGCAGGTTTTTCAATCAGATTTCGCCGTTTGCATGAGGCCCACCCAAATTAGTCTTATCTGGAAAGTCGAATTCGATTTGCGAAATCACTCTACAACATAGACGTCATAAATAATTTTACAACACCATCTGCTTTCTTCGTGCATGCCAAGGCTCGCTGGTATGTGAATGCCCGCAGATGTGGTGCTTCCTTTATAACTTTTCTCACGATATTGCTGTTGCGTTTGATTGCCTTTCAAACCGGGCTTGAGACAAGTCGCCTTAAGGCCTTTCCGATTTCGTTGACGATGCGACTAATGTTGGAGGCTTGCTTCTAAAATCGGCATGTGCGCCTATCTTCAAACAGCCCTTCTACACCTCTGTAGACTGTCTATGATTGATTCCTCTCCTCTCCATCGCTTGATAGCCTTCTGTAGTCACTATTGGAATCACAAGATATTTTACTAAGCCTTACCAAGCCCTTCGGCCTCTTCCATGCGAATGATTGGAAGTGGGCTTGAATGAGCCTTCACCGTTAGAAAAGTAATGAGAGTCTCTCTTGGTTAATTATCCCTACTGCAGAAAAACTGCTTGTGTAACGAATTAATGATGATGAAGTGAAATTTAATTGTCATCGTCCATGGTCCCAATGACCCCGACGCTCCCCGCGCCCCGCCCCATGTCTTCCTAAGAGCATCGACCCATGCTCTGGGGCTTTTTGCTGGTAACACCGACAATAAACGGTTATTTCTGCACTCGTCTCCCGCCTCAACGTTATTTCTACACTCGTCTCCCGCCTCAACAACAAAACCACTGAACCGCCCTACACATTTTGGTGCATCTGCCAAAAGTTAGTTTTTCTTCTCGCTTCCTTTCTTCTAATTTCTCCAGTGCGTCTGAGAGTAAAATCTTGGACCTCTAGAGAAGCAACTGCTCGTAACGAGAGCATATTTAAAGCGGTAATTTCACCACCGCTAGGTCGAATCAGATCGTTCCCTCCTGAGTATAAAGGAGAAGAGAGAAAGTGCTCCCGTATTCATTACCTGGCGCCAACTGTTTCACGAAAAATAAGCGAACTACCTCCAACTCGGAGAAGAAAGGAAGCGTTCCCGTATTAATTACCTGGAGCTACCTTTTTGCGAATAAAAAAGCAAAACTACGTTCACACTGAACAAGTAGCCTCCGTAAAAAGGAACCTAAGGCTAGAAGTTGTGTGAGTCAAAATTTTAAGAAATTCAGACGATCAATAATGGCTCTACATTTCTATAAGACACCCATAGTACTGAGCGTAACGACGCTAAAAAACCTGACAGCCCGTTGCAAGGGTTATACCGTGACAATAGAATACCGACCGCAGACGAGGAAAATTACGATAAATGTCGTTCCACTGTGGCGCTGTTGGAAAGCGGTATTAGACAAATCAGGGAGGGTAGAGAGAACCTTCAAAAATTATACAGCGAAACTCGCCGAGCGTAGAACCATCAGTTACTTCTTAGTTTTGCGCAAAACGCTTTTCCGATCGAACGTTTGGGTCGATTCAACTCTTCTACGCATTTGTCGCGGCGATTTGCAGATATACGTCGACTAGATCGATGGGTTTCTGCCGACCCAACAAATCAGTTGTGCGCTGTCCGCGCCATAACAGCAGTTATCGAAAAACGTATCGCTCGTATCCCCGGTTATGAACGTGTGGAATGTGCTGTGTCGTTTCATTTGTATGTCAACACTTGCGCTTGGCAGGAAGATCCTGAGCCTTGCATGTACGAAGTGAACGCCATTATGTTGTATATGCGACAAATACCCGGCGTGCGCGGTGGTGTGTTGGTTTTGGACGTACCGCAACTCTTTTGGCTGTTGGTCGATTCAGCCACACCATCATCGCCATTTCTGGAGATTTGGTTGGTATTATCGGGTCAGCACTGCCACTATTTTGATCCAACGGGGCAATATCGATTTGTTGAACGTGACTATGAAATTGGTTATGTTTTTGATCGTAAGGAATCGATAGGCCAAGACTTTTACGATTTCACTTCACTTGATTTGCCATTGTTTTTGGCGGAGGATTTGGCTATAACTGATGTGGCTGACTTCTTGACTGTCGACGTTAGCAATTGGATAACTATCGGTACGATCGACAATAGTCCTTATTCTTCTGATGATTTCGACTGGGCCACTGATTCAGCTGTAAAGTGGAATGAATCACGAACACGATTGCGTTTGGACCCTGTTAAACTTTATTCGCCACGATCGTATGCTGAACCTTGGAAAGCCTTACTTGGCCCACAAGTCGATCATGTCGAAAATTGGGTTCAAAAATCTGCTGTTCAGCAAGTCAAGATTGACGTTACCGCTGATAAGAATTGAATTTTCTGCTGATTCATCTACTGATGTAGCCAAATATTGGCACAGTTTTATCAGCACTGATGAATATCAACATATTGACGAAGTACGAGCGGCAGTATATTCCTCAGTATATGCCGAAGGAATCACTGACCTGATATATGAAAGATACACTTTGTTGTGGCCCAAAGTTCCGGATGAGGTTGAAGTATTTGTTTTCGCCGGCGATTCTGATAATCGTATCGCGAGTTTTTCACGGAATCCAANGACAACACAAACTCAGAAATGTAATCATGCCGAGGTTCATAGAAAGCCGTACATGGAACACTCTGTTGTGACCCAAAATTCCGGATGAGGTTAAAGTATTTGTTTTCGCCGGCGATTCTGATAATCGTATCGCGAGTTTTTCACGGAATCCAAATGCGGTGGCGACTTCAGTTTTCCGGTACCTTATCTATTGTCGTCCGCTGACCGATGGAACATTCTTGCAAGCAGCGCCTGTCACCGTCCGGAATGGTACGCCATTGCACTATTATGGGCCGATGAACTATCGTGTATTCTTTCATTCGGATCATTCATATGATTCTATGGATGTTCAAACGCAAGTTGCACCGATGTTTAGTACACCGCCACGACTATTGATTGTTGACACGGAACCGACATTGTCCGTCAATAACGGCGGTTTTTTCGGTTGTGAATCTAATAGGACCAATATCAATGCTTTATTTAGTCGTTTTGGTGCAAATATATTAGTAGGACTTAACCCGTGCAGGTTTTCTTGATGTCAACACGATACACGAAGTACAGGGTATGACTTTCTCATGTGTTGCGTTGGTGCGTTTGAACGCTACTCAAATGACGATTTTCGACTCAAAACAACATGCTCTTGTGGCTATATCGCGTCATACACGGAGTTTCGTCTACTGTCATCCTGGTCGTTCGGATGCGGTAACAACGCTCATTCGATCAGTTGTTGCGAAGCGTGATTTGACTAACATTCGTTTAGCCAACCAGTTGGCACAACGGGTCGTTCTGGCCGACGCTGCGAAAGATGAAGTGGTACCAAATGTAGTTGTTGCCTATAAACCTTTGCAATATGCACAGGTTTTTCAACCAATTGAGCGGCACGAGAGCTTGCGGACTGAACAACTTGAGTCTATCGCGCAAAACATATTGACAGTAGAACAGGCACTTAGTCTTCCTGCGACCGTAAATGATCAGATGGTTCCAATTAGTGTCTTCGATTCATATCTCGTTCCTGATAAACGTCAGCAGTATGGATTTACATCAATTCGACGAAATTCAAATTGAGACATCAGAATTACGATGTTTCGTTGATGATGTACGGATCGATCGGTCGAAAATCGGGCAGGCTAAGGCCGCATTCCGTCATGATCAACCTAGTTACTTTCCATTGTTGCGGACCGGTCAGCCGAATCCGCGTCCACGCACTACACGTCAAACTCTGCTGGCTTTGAGCAAACGGAACTGTGATGTCCCCAAAAATGCTCTGCCTGTAGCTATTAATCAAGAAGTCAATCGGACTTATCGAGCGTTTATTCCAACTTATTGTATTGTTGGCGCAGAAAAAATCCTGGACGCTTACGAATCGGAGCCAGTTGTTTTTTCCATAGAGAATCTAAATCGCTGGTTGAATGAACAAGAATTGGAAAAAGTCAAGCGTATCGATATCGAAAATTTTATTAACTTGGCTTCAGAAATCGGACGGTACATAATGATGATTAAGCGTGAATCCAAAAACAAACTTGAAGTGCACGCTATTCATGAGTACCAGCCTGTTCAGAATATTGTTCATCATCGTCCAGTGGTAAATGCCATATTTGGTTCCATTTTTAAAATTTTATTCGACAGGTTCATACGATTGTTGAAACCAAATGTTTTTTGTATGTTGAAGAAATCTCTTTTGCAACTAAAGATTCATTTGAACATGTTGAAGAAATCTCTTTTGCAACTAAAGATTCATTTGAACTCATAACTGGAACCTGGTCAACAATACGGTAAGTTTGAAATCGATTTTTCGAAATTCGACAAGTCCCAACTGGCTTTGTGTTTCGAATTCTAAAATTTCATGTTTCAAAAATTAGGAATGGACAAGTATTTGAATTGGATATGGCAGATGGGTCATCAAAAATCTAGTGCAATCGATTTTCAGACCCGCGTGAAGGCGCTGTTTTTCTACCAACGTAAGAGCGGCGACGCAGCAACGGCTTTTGGTAACACTCTTGTCAGTATGGCGACAATTGCTCGCTTCGCGGATGTATCTGGTTTTATCTCCGCGTATTTCGTTGGTCATGACTCACTCCTGTTTTATTCACAGAAGCACGATGATCAGCAATTGGTCAAAAACTTGTCTGATATTTTCAACTTGTCTGCGAAATCAATCGCAAAGCGTGTCGGCTATTTCTGTAGTACGTTCATTGTTGATACACCGGACGGATATGTTCCTATACCGGATCCGTTGAAGCGTGTTGAACGTTTAGGTCGTCACTTATATGGCGTTGATGAAACAGGCTTAAAAGATAGTCTCTTTTTCTGATTTAATGCAAGATTTGTTTGTTGAAGGTGTGGATGAATTATTGTTGGTTGGTTTGGCTGAGCGTTACGGCAACATCCATAGCGCGCGCCATGCACTGGACGCATTACATGCGATAGCAGAACAATATTCTACTTTTCGTCGGTTGTATAAAACCGGCGAGCGTCCTTCTGTATTACCAAGATTAAAAACTACACTACGTGTATAATTCTATCCATGCCTTACTCAAACTCATCGTGGGACGCAAAAGAATTCGCTCTAGATGCCGCGAGGTTCGCTCGTTGGTATAATCGTCAAGATCTTTTAATTTGGTTGAATTCGCTTGCTGATCTTAATCTGGCTATTCGAACAGAACAAGCGCGCGCATTATCACATCTTAATGGGTTGCCTCACACCGCACCTTTTGATGAAGATCGTAGGTTTCCATCCCGCGCTTTCTTTTTCACTGAATATATCCCTGATCATTTCGCTCTAATGAACACCATTCGTGCCTATTTGACTCAGCCAAATCGCCAGGTCGAACATGGCCGTATGGTGGGCGCAGCTGCTGATATTTTTCGTTCTGCTCAAGATCAGCAATTATCATTCACACGTAGTGCCGAACGATTGCGCGCTCTGCTCTATGATAGAGCGAACGTCTGAGTTCGTGCCAGTTTTGAAAAACATTTTTCACTGATTTGGGTGCAAACTCAAACTACGCCTTTATCTACTGATGGCTCACAGGCCTTATCTGTAACAAGACCCAGTGTCGCTAATCCTATACCTGAGTCGACTGATATTCCGGCAAATGCTGCGCAGTTGCCATCTATGGCACCTAATTTTCGTGCACGATCAGGTAGTGTGGGTAGTCTCGCGGAACAATTGCCGCAAGCCTAAACCTGCTTATTTTGATTATTCTTTGCTGCATACTTATTATCCGTATACTGATCGCTTTTTCTTTTGATTACCGCCTTTTGGCGAAGCCGATTTGTCCAGTAGTGCGTACACAATGTTGGCATAAAGTTGTAATTTCTCTAAAAAAAAAAAGAAAAAAAGCAAGCAAAATAATAAATAGCCGCTAAGTCGGCAATGTACATAGATATGTAAGCCTCATTGGATCTAATGCCAGTTCCCCACATTATCCTTAGGGNCGCTCCGCGGATGTATCTGGTTTTATCTCCGCGTATTTCGTTGGTGATGACTCACTCCTGTTTTATTCACAGAAACACGATGATCAGCAATTGGTCAAAAACTTGTCTGATAT